CTTGAAAAGTGTAGTCAAGAATGGCCACATATGGTTAGTGCCAATCCAGGAAATGACTCCTCCTTCACAAGGGTATCCCTTTTCAAAGGGGCAGAATAAATACGCAGTATACAGATTCTCCACACAGGCAGGACTTGACCTTCTATTCATCACTCCCAGAATTCAGGAGGAGAGAGTAGGACCAAGGGTCTCTCAACTTTCTCAAGCACTATAAAAGGGGTCTGGTAAAAAAATAAGTGAACAAAATAATTACCAAGTGTACTTAATGCTATGAAAGAAACAAATGGGGTTGGATGAAGAGTAACAGAGAGCTAACATACTTTGGACAAGGAAGGCAGAGAAAGCATCTTGGAGCAGGTTCATCTAAGCTAAGCTATGAAGGATGAAGACAGAAGAGTTTGCAGACAGAAAGTATGTGCAGAGGCCATAAGGTGCAAATGTGCTTAGAGTTTCCAAGGACCTGCAGGAAGATCAGGGCAGTTGAGGCTGAGTGATGGAATGGGGGAGTGAACAAGATGTGTTCGGAGAGTCGCAGGGGGTCAAGGGGGGCTGGATTACATGGGGAGTGCCAGACCACGGTAAAGAATTGGGATTTTATTCTAGTGCAGGGAGAAGCCATTGAAAGATTTTAATTGGAACAGTGCTATGATCCCATTTATGTTTTTGAAGATCACTCTTCAAGGTGTGTAGGGAGCAGGTCACAAAGAGTGGAAGTGAAGAGCCCTCTGGGAAGGTGGTGAGCTGTCAGTGCATGAGAACACAGCAGCCTAAACAGGACTTTGTTACAAATTAGATGCAAGATTAAGGGAACAGGAAGAATTAAGGACTTATTCACAAACCTATTTTTAAATAAGGTTTTTACTCCAAAGTGAGAAATAACCACAGTGATAATAGGTGTTAGCAAGCCCCTTTTAATTTTAAATTTCACCAAATAATTTGGAATAGCCCATTGGATGAATGATTAGCAAATACTAAAATATTAGCTTAATAAGAGATTGAAGTGCTTTCCCTTGACTAACAAATATGTAATATGAATGGCTGTATATGTAATGTAAATTACAGGATAATCTCTTTTTAAAATAGCAGCCCATCACTTAGTGGTCACTGCTGAGGTAGGTGCTTTATTTCTTATTTCATTTAATCTTTGCAATAACCCTGTGATGCAGGCATTCCTGTCCCCATTTTAAAGATTGGGAAGCTTTAGTTCAATAGTCTAAGTGATGTTTCAAGACCCATAGATGGAATTCAGAATCAATTATGATACAATAAATTGCAAGCAACATAAATAACTCAAATAAGCTCAGGCACCAAAGAGGACACATGCATGTTTGACAGATGTCATGGGCAAGGAAACAGCTGAGCCCTAACAAGGTGCCTGGACAAGGGCCTCACGGATTTCCTAACATCTTTTTCTCTTTCACCTGTCATCTGTCCTCACTTCTGTATCCATTTCATTTTATTCTTTCTCTGTCCATTGGCTTTCCCTATTTCTCCACTGTTTCCTCCACTGTGTCCCCAAGCTTCACTCTCCAGTTAACCTTAGTGTGGCCAAAATTATTCCTAGTTTTCAATTCAGAGATGTCACAGAAGGGAATCTGATTGGCCTGGTTTGGGAGAAGTGCCCACCCCTCATCCAATCGGTGTGGACAGTGTGTTCCCTTTACCGAATGGCTTCCAAGGCTCACCTGAGTGAGGGTGAGGTACAGGGACAGTCAGGAGCATCCCTGGAGGGCCAGGAAGATACTGTAAAAGGTGTGCACTAATGTAATGAGCCAGGATTTAGATTTCTGGATCAACTGACAGGAGAAATTGTTAGGTCAGTGGACATGCACTGTCTTTTATCATCATGCTTGTTATTGAGGGTGTTTTTGAGTTATATATACTTTACTTATGAGGTTATTGTTGCAAATCTTTTAAAGAGGTACAGAAGTCATTTTACCCAGTATTTCTAAAGTGTGCCTTGTTGGTTAAAATTATAAATTCTTGCTAACAGCTCTGGCTAGCTCTATTTATTATTATTATTACTTTATTAAAGAACTTGTTCTTGGGGTGCCTGCGTGGCTCAGTCATTAAGCATCCAACTCTTGATTTCAGCTCAGGTCATGATCTCATGGTTGGTGACATTGAAGCTGTCTCAGGCTCTGCACTGACAGCGTGGAGACTGCTTGGGATTCTCTCCCCATGGCCCCTCTGTGTCTTTCTCTTTCTCAAAATAAATAAATAAAGTTAAAAGAACTTGTTCATAAAGGAAGCTTTGTGAGTTAAATGGATGTAAATTATAAAATGTGAAAGGTAATTATTTATAATTTTTATTGAAGATATTTCAGACCTCGCTATTGCCAACTGCTGGTATGGATTTAGCATTCTTAAATTTAAATAGTGACTTTTGGCTCTTTTTTCTTGTCAAATACTTTGTGATTAAATGTGGTCTATTATTATACTGTCATCTTAAATTTAAGAAACAACACTCCTTTAGCATTTTGAATCTATGCAAAACAGCCTTTATTTTATGCACATATAAACCAGTGAAGCATTCACATGTTGGTTTTGGGACTTTAAACTTGGCAAATTATAGATTCTCATTTTTATATCTGTCACTGTTGGCTCCAGACTTTAAATTGAAACCACAGGGTTTATCTGGCACTCACACCAAGCTAATGCTTTTCCCTTGCTTTAAATTAGCTGCTACTTAATGGTTAAGAAAGAGTGCTCTATATGGCAGATAACATTAGAGCAATAATATACACAAATCACTGCCAACTGTACAAAGGCTGCTTGAACTTTTGGCTGTTTAAAAACCAAAACATGTCCATCATGTTGCATTCAAAAACTTCATAGCAACAGGTGAGCACCCTAATCTTTTATTTTTGCTTAGTTCAGATGAAACCAATGAAAGGTAAAACAAAAAGTCATTTCAATCTGAGTTGCACGAGAGGCATATCAGGTGTGAGCTTCCCTTTCCTGACTTGGGTGAAGCTGGAAACCATGGCCTTGGTACTTGATCCTCAGCATCCTATTTTTAGGGATTGCTACTTACCTATCCTAATAAGTTTACTAGAGTATCACTGCCAGATAAGAAAAATATTTTAAGGTTCTGAAGTGTTGGAGTCCCTGAAATTTAGATTTGGGACTGGCGAGATACTCTTTTACTTCACGTAATCATGTTACCAAAATTAGGAACATCAGGCTACATTAGAGTTTTTCTGATCCCAAATAAAAGAAAATGACAGGAACGGGTAGCTTATGTTGTCTAAACTGTACGGTCCAGGATTCCTCAAATTTACACAGGTTTGGATATCAAGGCATTAGGTTGGCATGAGGTGCTATTGGCACATGTTAAAGCATCTTTCGGTCTCTTTTCCTGCCGAGCTGTAGGTCTGCTGGAGCTGTTCAGCAGTAGCTGTGCCCTGCAACTTTTTTTGGTGATAAGTGATCCATTTCAAATAAATGAAATTGCAGCCAACTCTGCAGAAAGAATCACTTTCTAAAAAAGAGAGACCATTTTGGAGGGTCAAAAATGCACAAACAGTATGGTAAAATAAAGTATATGCTGCTCTTTTTAATGGAAAAGATTGTTACTGGTTACATTTGCCAAATTCAATCACTATGCCAAAAAGTCGAGGAATCTGGCAGGGACTGCGGAGAGCAGTTCCATCTTTCATCTATATTTCTTCTCTGTATTTATCTAGCTTCAGAAAATGCCGGGAATGTCTTTTCCTTCCGACTTGGCCCTTCTGCTAAACCACAGAAATACACCGGGCAGCTTCTCGTAATTGTTTGGTTACTTATAGTGCAGTCTTTAATCTTGTGAAAAATATATTCTTTTCTATTGGAAATTTATGGAAATCACCAACAACTGTTTGTTTTCATTTTCTGAAATTTATCCCAGGAACAAAAAAAAAATCAGTTTTATTAATTGGCAGCTACTTAATGCAATACACAGAGGCAGGAGGCCAGCTCATTATTTTTGGCCTTCAGCTGACCCAAAAATGGTTTTCTCGTATAAGAAGCTATTCACAGATGCTAGACGTAAGAATTAATAATAATAAAAAAAAGAATTAATAATAATAATAATGCATTTCAGACTCCATAAGTAGTTTTTGGCACTTAAAAAATATCTTCTGTTTTTCCCTTGAAAACAGCAATCCTGTTATATACAAAAAGCAAACAGTGCTTGAATTAGCACGTTGCAGTCTTTAATGTACCAAAAATATGCATGCATTAACATTCCCTTCTAAGGCTCCTTTTTTTTTTTTCACTTCCTTCAGGATCAATCAGTTTTTGTTACAAAAAAAAAAACTCTTAGATTCTTAGGAGCTGTGTTCTCTGCATTTTCCAACCCATTGCCATGGTGTAAGATGCCTCTTTGAAATGTCTTTGGACTGAAATTTAAAAGTACAGGTGCTAAACAAAAGTTACATTTTTAAAATCAAATTAATTATAGCTTATGCAGATTGAAATCAGAGCAGCTATGTCTGTGGTTCAGGAATGATCAAACATAATGGCTTATCCTTATGGTTAACAAGTCGGGACTTGTTTATAAAATTCTAGTTTGCAATATGCTTTTGGGAAAAAGCACTGTATTCTCCAGGTCTTTGGTTACCCATGAGTAAAAGTAAGAAAAATATTTCTAAAGTTGAAGCTATTATTCCTTATAACCCACGTTTAAAGTTTGAATCCCTGAGGAGGAAAATATCAGAAAAGCACCCCTAAGTTTCCATTTTCAGCAATGAAAACTGACATGCAGTTGGAAGGGGTCTCTTTATGACACGGGGCTTAGTATTTTTACCTCTGCTTCTTGTAAGAAGTAACAAAATATGCACACTGACTGCTGCAAATGTTGATGCTCTCCCTAGATCATGCTTTTCTGATTGGGGGAAATCTGATCAAATTTCCGTGAAAACAAATTTCTAAAGATATTTTTTCTCAGATGGTCACTTGCCAGTGAAACTATTTATAAGAAGGTTGACCTGATAATTTTTATGCCATTTTGCATGCAGAGAAGAAAAATGGAAAATCTCTTTGAAAATTGTCATCTTTGCCAAAGGAAAGTAGAAACACACCTAAGATGTGTTGCACGATCAGCCAGGGACAGATCTGGGAGTGCCGCGGGCGTGATGCCACACGGTCTGCACCGATGGAAATGCAGTGTTTGCACTGTGACTAGGAGAGGCAGCAAAGACGCTTCTTCACAGTGAAGCTGTGTGTTGACAACAAATTATCATAGTCTGCATATATATCTGGATGTTATACACCTTTCTTGCACCAAAATGTGCCCTCTGTTTTGCTTGTACCAGTCCCGGAAATCCTCACGGTGGGGGACTCTGGGTCTGAAAGTAGGGCATGCAAGATCTGGATGTACCCAGTGGGTGCTGCTCTTTTGTCAAAGCCAGGGCAAGTCCCCACTCTTATACACGTGTATGTGTATATATGCTTTTACACAGCTGTCGATGGACATTTATTATTCAAATTACATAAAGAATTATTACAACTCAATAAGAAGATGAGCAACTCAATTAAAAATTCACGCAATTTCTGAATAGACACTTCAACAAAGATACATGGATGGTAAACAAGCACATGAAAAGATGTTTAAAACCATTAAGCATCAGGGGAATGCAAGCCCAAACCTCCTGAGACATCAGCACATGTCTGCCGGAATAGCAGAAATTCACAAGCCTGACGATACTGAGGGCTGACAAGCACATGGAGGAACCGGAGCCCTCCTACGCTGCTGAGAACACAGCATGAGACAGCCACCTTGGGAGACAGCTTGCCAGTTTCTTACAAAACATGCACTTACCGTACGACCCAGAACCTCTGCTCCCAGGTATCTGCCCAAGAGGAATGAAGACATGTGCACATAACAACCTCTCTGTGAACAGTTATACAGCATGACTCATAATCACAAACACAGAAACAATCAAAATGCCCCTCAACAGGTGAATGGATGAACAATGACAGGTCCCTCCAGACAATGGAATGCTACCCAGCTACAAGAAGGAACAAACCACCAACACATGCAACAACAGGGACAAATCTCAAAACCACTATGCTCAGTGAGAGAAGCCCCATTTATAGTTTTGAGGCTGTTTCACTCAACTCTCTTCATTAGGTTTGACTTTTATTAAATCAGACCTCCATGCTTCAGTGCCATTTCAAGCTTTAGCTCTGACGGTTCCATTAAATTAATAATTGATTATTAATCAATTGATAGTGCTTATTAATAATTAAACCAAAACTACCACCTGACTTATCTGTATTTTTCGTATTTGTTGACTGAAACCCAAAAATAAATGATGTCCTATCATAAAAAGAATAATTTGATACTGAAGCCTTTAGACAAGGATCCAGACAGCTTATAGGCACTAACGCTGCCACAAGCCATTTTTTAAGCTATTTTTTTAAGAATAAGAACATCAGGGGGCGCCCGGGTGGCTCAGTCAGTTAGGTGTCCGACTCTCGATTTCAGCTCAGGTCATGATCTCACAGTTTGTGAGTTCGAGCCCTGCATCGGGCACTGCACTGATAATGCAGAGTCTGCTTGGGATTCTCTCTCTCCCTCTCTCTCTCTCTGTCCCTCCCCTGTTCACACTTTCTCTCTTTCTCAAAATAGTTAAAAAAAAGAATAGGAACATCAGAATTTTCTGATGTGCTTTTTATAGGATATAGCCAGTGATTTGCATGCAAATTTAGGTAGGTTTTGGAAAAAATCATTTTGGATGATAGATGTATGTAATATAATATAAATATAATTTAGACAGATGTCCCAAAACTAGTTCATTGATCCAATTTCTAAAACAGATTAAATCTGAGGAAGAAAACTACTAACTAAATAACACAGGGTGCAGGGAAATGAGCATGAGTTTGGTGCCAGACAGAACTGGGTTCGAATCCTGGCTGTGGGTGCAGGTGCCAGGTCACCCAGCTTCCCTGGGCTCCATGTCTTCATCAGTTCTGTAAGAATGATAATATGTACCTCAGATAGTTACAGAGAGGATGAGATAACAAAAATGAACACATACACACACTTATATCGATAGATAGATAGATAGATAGATAGATAGATAGATAGATAGATAGACAGACAGACAGATACACACACATACTACCGTTGTCTTTACAGGAGTAGCATTCTGCCAGGTCGAGGCTGAGGGTGTGAGATAAGTGGCTCTCTAAAGTGCTCCTTCCTGGATTCAAGTCCAGTTTCCGTGTACTGAACCAATTTAGACAGCAGCTATCAAGTCCTCAGCCTCGATGTTCCAGTGTAGACAGAATTTGGGGTGCTGGCCTGAATGCCATGTGGATGGCCCTGTATCCACGGTGGGATCTGACAGTCCTCAGAGAGGATGCAGGCAGGAATGTGGTTTGGCTCTCTGTGGCTTGACCACAATGCAGAGGCCACGCTTGTATTCACAGATATGAGTGTGCTGGTGGGGCCACCGCTGCACCTCAGGATGTGTGCTTTGTTGGGACCTGTGTGACCGTATGTAAACTCAGAGCACACCCTAGGGTCACTGACAGTACAAAGCTAAATAACACAGGATATTTCAGATTTCTGTCTATATCTGCATAAAACTATCTGTTAATGTGAAGCCCCCAGGCCATTTGTTCAGAGACCATATGAGTCAGACATGTGTCCCCTGAAGGCGTATTTGGGTTGTTGGGAAACAAGGACATGTGACAATTAGGTGGGAGAATCAGTGGGAAACCTCGGCTTGTGTCTTCCCTGATCAGTCAAGGCTTTTTTGCAAAGCCTTTTCTGTGAGCACACACTGTCCTCATAAATCTGCCACTGCCCTTTTTTAAGGGCTACAGCTAGGTTTCCTTTGCTCTGAACAAGGCTTTATGTGATTTGACTCCTGCCGGCTTCTCTGCCATCATCTTGCCCTTCTTTCCCACTTGCCCTTGTGGCATGGACTGCTAAATATCTGCTGACATCCATCCTCCCCTGTTTGCTGCCGGCTTTAGCACAGCGCATGATGTCCAGCCACGGGATACATTTCCCAGCCCCCCTGAATCTTGGGGTGACCATGGGACCAAGTTTTCACACATGAGAAGTGAGAAGTGATGCATGCTATTTGTGTTCCTTGTCCTACATGAAGAGATGCATGTGTATCCCCGTCCCTGTGCCTGAAGGCTGAAGGACAGAGACCACTGGAGAGCTTTGGGCTCAGAGAAGAGGGCAGAGCCGCGCTCCCAGCCCTGGACCATTTGCAGTGTCACATAAGGGAAAACAAGCTTCCAGGTTGTTTAAACCACTAAGCTTGGGGGTCTCTATGTGAAAATAGTTTATCCTGGACTCAAATTAATATACTCATAGGAGTTGGCTTGGCAAGCATTTGCTACTTCTGTGTGGAGAGGAGGATGCTGTTGGGTGTGGGGCAGCTGTGTGCCAGGATGTGCATGTGGAGGGCAGAGCAGAGGCCAGATGCTACTCACCTGCTCTGCTGGCACCTCTGTGCTCTGTGCAGACCACTGGTCCCTAGAGGGTGGCCCTTCTGTTCTTCCTGTGTCTGGAATGCTCTCCAAAACCCCCACAGCACACTTTGCATTGCTCGCATCCATCCTTTGGACCTTCAGGTTCACTTTTGTCCCTCTGGGAAATGTGCATGTCCCCTCTGCCTCCATCTGTGCTCTCCTAAACTTTCTCTTCCTTTCTGTTGTACGGACATCACTCTTTGTCTCCACAGACTATATGATTCCTGAAGGCTGAAGCCAGGCCAGTCTCCTCCACTTCTGCTGTCCCAGGCCCAGTTCATGCCACGGAGCAGAACATAGTGAATATTTGTTGAGTGAAGCAATGAACTTCTCCTCATTTTTAATATTGCCACATAACCATAATATCCTCCTTTGAAAACACTCTGCAAATGTGAAGACAAAATAAGAAATATTTGAGGAGGGAATATATATTTACAATATTTTTCTTCTCTGTAGCCACATAAGCCCCAGTGCTTACATTGTTTATTTTTATTTTTGAGCAATACAGAAAGGGGTTGGGAGCATTTGATTTTCAACTCTGTATTTTCCCTGCTGCTAGAGAAGTTTAATTTTCCTCTGTGATTGTTTTCAGTTTGTACCCTGGAAAAGTAAGGTGATAAATATAGGCAATCACTGCAAAGTATGACTATGGCCAGGCGCTAATGTTTTCAAATTGCTGATGATTTTTAGGGACACCACAAACTGGCCGCACTGTCAGAAGCATTTGGCAGTCATAACTGGCAGCAGGAAATCAGACTGTAAATTTAGAAAGCATTGCACCATATTTGGGAATGCACCTCAGAGTCACCTCCAAATATGTCATGGTCATGTAGCTGGGGTTCAGAGTGAATTTAACTATCCTTTATTATGTATTTTGTGGTACATGAAAAACTTCAGAATGTATGGCTGGGCAAGAGAGAAAGCAGGTCTGTTTCATTAAGGTAAAAATTTCATCACAGATTTTACCAACCACTGCCAAGTTGGGAAAGCCATTTTACACTGATACTTTCCTCATATACCCTTGACTTTACTGAAAAAAGTTTAAGATTATTTCTGTTACTTATGATTAAATGTTAATGATCATTAGGATAATTTTCTTAGTAATGGCTTACGTCAAAGTGTATGGAGAGGCTAAAAAGAGAGGTTTAGTTTTAACACAGGAGAGCTTTAACATGCCATAGGACCACAGAGAGAATAAGATTCACATTGTGAATGTCCCCTCTTGAAGTGCAACATTAAGTCCTTTAACCTTGTGTTAAGAAATAAAGCTCAAGGAGAAAAAAAACCATTTACTGGTTACATGTATTTCATGTCATTTATGAAATGTGCTTAGGGCTCCTCTACTGTTGCAAAGGAGGAAATCAGCCGTCATGTAAGTTTCTAGGATGTTTGTGACAAAGTTCTGCACCAAAGCAATTCAAAGGAAGTAAGCTTTGCTTAGGGAACCTGACAAGGGCCCCAGAACAAGAGAGAGTAGATAGAGGGGCCCAGCTATTCCTGAACAGCATTCATCAAAGGTCAGTACTAGGAATAACCTTACTGAAGAATTTAAAAAAACAATATACACAATGAAATCCAGTGTGTGAACACAAGTTAGCCAGGAGGAATATTAAGCCAGTGTCATTGCGCCCAGGCATAAGAGTGACTGTTAAGTTCTATTGTGTACCAGAAAAAAAAAATCTCAAGTGCTTTTTTTTTTTTTAATTTTTTTTTCAAC